TGGCAAAATACTTCTCTTTTTAATCACCAGGTAAACCTGTGATCATCTTCTAATGCTGGCAGCACTAACAACCATAGCACTTCTGTGGTATACCACAGGCTTTGTGGCTGTTGTTATGTCAAGCTATAACAACCAAGTGGAAGTTTTCCCTTTTGTTTGGGTGGGGCTTTGCTTTACATCATCACATCAGGAACCAGGCTATGGGAAGGTACTTGTCTTTAATGTATGGCTTCCATTTATGGAGAGACCTATTTTGAATTTGTTTGTGAAAATTCAGAATCCATTCTTTGGAGAAGAGTTGATTCCTTGAATAATCATAGAATTGGCTCAGTAAATTGGGATATAGAGAGACCTCAAAATAAGGGCATTATCCCCTGACAGAGTTATTCCTTTCTTTGCAAAATAATATTTTGAGGACTCTTCCAAAAATTGTCTACATAAAAGTCTTTATGAAAGAGATAGACCATTTTATTTTAAAAAGAGTACTCAGGAACTGTGAAATGGAACACATAGATACATAGATTCAGGAGACGTGCTTCAGCAATCCGCCCCCCTACTCTCGCCCCCTTCTTGGAAAATTAAAACATCACTGCTCATGTTACTTTCCTCAGGACCAGAGTACCCTGGTAGTTCAGTTAGTCCAATTTAGGTGGCAAAATACTCCTCTTTTTAATGGTGAGGTAAACCTGTATTTGTTTCCTAATAGGGCATTCAGATACACCTCTTTCTTTCATTTCCACTTTCTCCATGCATCCTCATATCCCAATTTTTTGTTTGTTTAAAATTCTATGTGAAAATCTAATTTTATGTTTCCTATCTTAATTTAAAATTTTACTATCTTGTTTTCAACTCTTATCTCCCTCAAATNGTTTTCAGCTCTTATCTCCCTCAAATATCCTTGTTATATTTTCCTACTCTTATTTTTTAGATTGTATTTTATGTCTCTGAAGTTGTAATTATAGGCTGTTTTCTCCGTTGTTTTTTTTTCCTGCTACCAGTAATTACTCTGTTTTTACCAAGTTTAGTTTTTTTGTTTGTGTTTGTCTCTCTTGTCTGAGGCCTTCCTTAAGTGTCTGAAATGGGAGAAAATATTTGCAAATCATACATCTGATAAGGGGTTAGTACCTAAAATATATAAATCACTCATGCAATTCAGTGGGAAAAAAACAATTGATTAAAAAATGGGCAGAGGATCTGTGTAAACATTTTTCCAAATAACACATACAAAAGGCCAATAGGTATATGAAAATGTACTCAACATCACTAAACATCAAGTAAATGCACGTCAAAGCCACAATGAGATATCACCTCACACCTATTAGAATGGTTATTTCAAAAAGATAAGAAATAACAAGTGTTGGCAAGGGGACCCTTGTGCACTGTTACTGGGAATGTTAATTGGTGCAGCCACTTTGAAAAACATTATGGAGATTGCTCAAAAAAATAGAACTAACCACATGATCTAGCATTCTAGTTTTGGGTGTTTTTTTTTTTCTTTTTAAATCAAAATTTATTATCATATATTTTAAAATTAGCTTATTTTAAATTTAACAAATGATACAATAATACATTGTTTAAAAATTGCAGTACACTAATCAACCTGAAGTTCCCCTTTAAAAGAAAACCCCAGTCTCAGTCTCCTTCCAAGGTAAGTGCACCTATTAGACAGACTTTTTTTTTCTTTTTCTCTTTTTTGTTAATCCTTACACGAGGATAATTTCTCCATCGACTTTTAGAGAGAGTGGTAGGGAGGGAGGGGGAAGACGGGGAGAGAGAGAAACATCGATGTGAAAGAGACACATGGATTAGCTGCCTCCTGCACATGCCTCCAACTGGGGCCAGGGATCAAACCTGCAACCCAGATACATGCCCTGGACCAGGAATTGAACCAGTTACCCTTTGGGCTTTAACCGCTGAGCCACACCAGCCAGGGCACTAGCCACATTTTTAGATAATGTGTATGTTTATACATCCACAGAACAGTTCTGGGTATTTATCCAAAGGAACAAAATCATTATCTTTAAAAGATATGGGCATGTCCGTGTTTATTGCAGTGCTATTTATGGTAGCTAAGACATGAAAGCAGCTTAAATATCCATGGACAGATGAATGGGTATAAATGTTATGTGTATACAGGGTGGGGCAAGCATAGGTTTATAGCTGTAAGTATACTAAACAGAGTTTATTCTTTTATTGTCATTTATTATTGTATTATTTTCCATATGAACCCATGTAAACCTACTTTTGCTTCATCGTGTGTGTGTGTATAATTATTCAGCCATAAAAAAGAAGGCAATCCTACCATTTGCAACAACACAAATGAACCTTGAGGGCATTATGTTAATAGATAAAGGCAAGTATTATATGATCTCACTTATATGTAGTATCTAAACAAACAGAATTCATTGATAGAGAAAACAGATTGGTGATTGCCAGAGGTCATGGTTAGGGGATAGGACAAATAGGTGAAGGTGGAGCAATGTCACAAACTTCAAGTTATAACACAAGTCAGTCCCTGGGATGTAATGTACAGCATGGTGAGTACAGTTAATGATACTGTATTGTGTATATGGCAGTTCCCAGAGAATAAATCTGAAAAGGTCTCATCACAAAGAAAAATATTGTAATTATGTGAGGGGGTGTATGTTGATTAAATTATCGTGGCGATCTTTTTTGCAATATATACATATATTGAATCATATTGTATACTAAAGCTAATAAAATTTGTTAAATATATCTCAGCAAAGCTTGGGTGTGCTGTCCTACAGGACACGCCAGGACTCCTGTGACGCTGTGCCTTACTGCAGCCCATCAGGTGGCCCTCAGCTGCACTTTGGCCCATGACTGAGGATGATCACTTCCATCTTCATCACTAGGCTCTGCTGCAAAAGTTGCTCTTTGCCCCTTTAGATGGAAAAGGGTATTGTGAGGATGGAATTTGAAACATATGTATGTTTGCACTCATCAGCCATTTAATTTTTGCACTTCTATCAGTAAGGTGGTGTGGTGTCCTGATTAATTCAGTAGGTGATGATTGCGTCCTATAAATATTTTGCTGCTCAAACCTCCTGAATCTGCTGGTGGGAGCCTTTCAGTTTGGTTCTTCATCCCTTTGACTCCCACCATTGTTCCATGAGCACCTCCTTGGCTTTTCCATTAGTTGGTCGAGACTCATCTTGTACTTGTGCCTGACTCGCTTCTGAGTATAACTATTTCTCAAAGAGCCCAGTTCCAGTGGAGAATGGCGTTTAGAAGCCAACACCTAGGACTTGGTGGGCAGAACGATGACCTGAGATGTGCTTTCCCTTTTTTCTCTTCAGGGTAAAAAAGACAGGCAAGGGGAGCCCCTGCTGTGAGTGAGTCCAGGACACCACGTCCCTGCCTGTCACAGCACTCGAGGGAAAGGGCCTTGGGAGTGGTTAGGCTCTGCTCAAGACAGGCGTGGGTAAAGGGAGCAAGGCGTTAAGTGCCTTTGTAGGATTTCCCTTTGTGTTTCACATGCTTGGGTCCTTTCAAATGCCTGTGACTAGAGTACTAAACTGATCAAACCCCACTGGTGAGGTGAGAAAAGATGAACAGGCTGGGGGACTATCATGGAAGTCAGGCCACAGAAACCATCCTGCTAAGGCCTAACAGGGTCTGCCCTAGTGCAGGCACGGAGTACTTGTTTTGTGAAAATAATCATAAATAGGCATTTTAACGAATTTTTCTGACATATGCGAAATCCATTCACCTAAAGAGTACAGTCTGTCCTTTTGCAATTAAGTTTTCTTACTTAAAAAAATTCATTCTCTCTTGGCCCCATTGATTTCTGCTTCTGGAATCCCTGCTGTGCATAAGCTGAAGTTGATGTATTTGTTCCTCAGGAATTGACTTTCTCTCTGTACACTGTGTTTATGTGACTTCTGGAAGAATTTCAAAAATCTTTTACTTTATTGTGTTATCTTTATACATTATGCAAGTGTTTCCATTGTAATTTGAAATGTGGTCATATTTTTCAAGTTCATTAAAATGGTGTCACATTAGAGTGTGGTTTTTCTCCACAGCCTGTTCCAGAAACCACTCTTGAACATTCCCTCAGATCTCCTTGAGGTTATTAATTCAGACATTTGTGGCAATTCATGATAATTTTTAATTTAAGTTCTAAGATTCCATGTTTGAAGATTTTTCTCTTTGTAAATGTTTAATGAGATTTGTCAAATATTTGAACTTAAATGGGTTCTGCAGAAACTATGTGGCTCAAGTCTTCTTGCACAGTGGAAGGAGGATGGGCCTGTTCATGGAGCTGCAGTTTTGTCTTGCTGAGCCAGAGACCCTGAATCCCACACAAAAAAGGAGGAGAGGGAGGGCAGAATGAAGCAAGATGTAGCTGTCACAGAGGTGGTTCCAGTGTCTCTGGCCTCGTTTTGAGCAGGCTGTGGACCCCGAGAGCTAACCTGGGAAGCCCTCCCCTTCTGCAGCTGGCATCTCTAATGCCACTGGGATCAGCTCTGCCAGGAGCTCACTTTACCTGGCATGCTGTCAGTACCAACTACAAACACAATGTGAGTGCCATGGTTACTGCTCATCACTGGAGTCTGGTATCTGGTGAATTATTTGACTAATGAATAAGGGTCTAGGCTTAGCTTGTCCTGTAGCTCCCCTGACATCCCAGTGTTCTCAACATTAGGTGCTAGTGGTGATGGTGGAAATTTGCTGAAGATGAAAGGGAGTCTCTTCCCTAAGCCCTTATATCCTAAGCACACTTTTCCCTTGCTTGAGTTGAATTATGGGTTGGATATCTCTTCCCACTCAAGCCAAATTTCCCTATAAAAGAGTATAAAAATTCCTTTAAGTTACTGACAGGTATAAATTCTAGTTTCCAGCACTGGAATGGATTTTATTAGATTATCAAATGCTTTTGCCCATCTGAAAAGGAAGAGGGGAGCTAAATCTGTATAAATCATATATGTATAAATCATATACATTGATCAGTTTAAAAACAAAAATATGCAAAGAAATATATTGATATTTTTTTATTTCAGTTACTTGATTGTTGGTATAACCTACTAGCACATTATTGAAGTTCATTCTCTGATAGAATACTTATGTTTTATTTAATACCTGAATGATCTCATAACATGTTCTGTGAATAACAGAATTCAGTACTAAGCATTCAATGTGTAAATAATTACTTCAAAAATTATAACACTACAGTTTTAGAGTGAGTGAATCTTTAAATGTGCCCTTTTTTGGGATGGAATCATGTTTTTTTTACTGAAATCCATTAGAAAATGGTAACTTATTGTCTTGTTAATATAAAAATCTTATAGTAGATTAGCTTATATAAAAGTTAAATGTGATATAATTGCTGAATAAATACAAATACATATTTTACTTTTCCTTGATAATGTGAATATTGAGTATTATTTGAACATAATTGTAAAGGAAACTGAAGTTATGTTCATTTGTAACTATTTTGAATATACAATATTTTGCAAAATAAGTTGCTACATATGTAATTGTAGCTAAATAAAATAATTTTGTATTAAATAATTTTAATTAATTTTGTTATAAAGTTGAAAATAAAGCAATTTATCAAAGGAAGTTTCATGTTTAAATGTAAAAGTCCCTATGTTCTTTCTCTGAAGTACAAAATGTATAAAATGAAAGAAAATGTATAAAAACATTTATAAGTAAGTGATACAGAAAATAAACTATAATTTGAAAATTGAAATCATAGATCCGGAGCATCAGGCATCACAGTATAAGTCATACATGTTATGTCATTTCACTAAAGAAAAGAAAACCCACTGAATTTTGCTTGTACATAGTCTCAGTCAATATACAGACTTCAGAGTTTCTGAGACCTTTATTAATCCACTACCACACTCCTGCTCTCTGATCTTGGCCTCCAGTTCTTTCAAAAAACATGAAGTCCTAAATAAAAACAAAATACAGAAATGAGTTTTCAGTAATAAAACTGAGGTCAAGTCTCAGGTGCATAAAAGCTAAGGGATGTGACGAAACAGAATAACATATCTGCTAGACAAGAAAACTGACTATTGTAAGTAGATCTGGGAAAAGTGGATAGCTTCAACTTTCCATTTTAGTAGCAATTAAACTCTATAATTCTAATCACTTATTAATACCTGTATGAATTTAATTAGTCCTTTGGTAATTTCTCTGAATTTCACTTTTTCTCAGGTCCCTCGGGATGATGCTTTTTGAATCTTTCTTCCTAAACTTTTAATATTCCTTAATTAGTAATATAACTGTTCTTATGACTGAATACTATGGACAACTTTTAGATTTTTTTCAGGGGCATGAAAGCCACCGTAGAGTTAGAATACCACTTAGAATTGTTTGGCCCAGTTTATGATTTCTATTCCAAATTTCTGACTGCGTTGCCCAGCTGGCCTCACTCCATCAATGCCTAACTAGACCCTCTCCTCCACGACTTAATGTCAAATTCTATGGATTTTCTCTCTCATATCTATCATTTTCCTTTATCCCATTCTCACACAGTCCCCAGGATTTATCTTTCTAAAATTTGGATTTACAACTATTTTATTTATACTTAGTTTAAAAATAGCCAGTTAACCATTTTCAGTATCTTCCCAATGCCTATTAGAAGTTAGTTGCCCCGTCCTTAAAAGTCCTTTAGTAGAAGCCCAATCTATCCCATAGTCATTTACTAATAACTGTACCCCCAACCCAAATCCTGTGTCCCATCTATCCAAACATCGCAGACTGTCTTATCTTCCGTATACCATTATATAATCATATCTTTAAAAAACCAGTAAGTCATTAATCATCAAACAGCCAGTCAATATTGAAATTTCCATGAATGCCTGTAAATGTATTTTTATACTGGTTTGTTTGATTCAGTCTACAGTCTACAAATTGCATTAAGTTGATGTCTTTTAAGTCTTTCTCTCATTTAATTATCTTTTTATTTTCCTGACATTTATTTGTTGAAGGAACAGAAGGATCCTTTTGCTGTATATTCTCTCATGTTTTATTTTTTTCTGAGTGCATCCCCAAATAAATGTTTAAGATATTCATTTAGCAGAGATTTTGATTCACTGTCTGGGTGCAGTCCTGACACAGGGAGTTTAAAAAGCTACCCCGGTGTTTCTACTGTGCAGCTAAGGTTGAGAACTGTTGCTCTCTCCCAGGGATCCTTGACTTTGGCTGCACATTGAATCACCTGGGGAGCTAAACAATCTTCTCATTGTGAGCTTCTGACTTAACTGAGCTGGGCTATGACTTGGTACTTGGTTTTTGAAATCTCCCTAAGTAATTTAATGGAAGACAAGTTTAGAATCACTGCTCCGTCCCATGCGTCCTGATGGCAGTTCCATCTGGTGGCTGGATTGGAAGCACTTTTATTGCAGTTCACACTCCTTAGTAGAGCATTTAACTTAATGAATCAGGACGAAATCCCTGTTTCACTGGGTTCTACTCCATGTTAGCCCATATTTCAATGCACCTATTTAGATTTTTTAATAGGAGCCCCAAAGACCAAGGCTTCTCCATAACACACAAAGTTCTTCTATTGCCAAGTGAAACTGAGTAGAATTTCCAGAGAAACTAGTCACCTGTGAATCCAGACTATCAGGAGAAAAATGGAATTTCAGAGCTAGGATTAAATGGGACCCCTTTGAAAAAACCTATAAATTTAAGCAGGTCACTTAAAAAGGTACAATTTACTCAACCGTTTTGGGATGATACTAAAGAAATACCCAAGGTTAGCAAGAATAGACTTACAATGAGGAAACAGGCGCCAAGCATCACAGCTTTCATTTTCACATCAAGGTCTACAGGGAACTGAATGTCAAAATCACTGTAATCTGTAAATGCCTCTCTCACAAAACCAGTCCACTGCTTGGAAATCTTGCCAACCACATTTTCTTCATCAAGGGATTTAATCTAAATTGAAAAAAAGTGACAGTCTTAAAGAATTCTAGAAAACTAATAATAAAACTACTTTCAAATCTGGAATAAAATGAAATGAATATGTTACTAAACTTACATGCAATACATAACCATGACCATTAGACCACTCATCAGAGGCACATAAATTCCTGTATCTATAGATACATGAAAAAAATTGTCTTTGCTACAGAAAGCTTATATGAAAGTAGTTTTACTGAAGTATTTAACATCTTATATTGTACATTAAGACACAGTACTAAATCATTTGAACTGATCTAAAACAAAATTTAATCAGGAAAAGATACAAACATGAAACGTTTCTTTGATGAAATTTCTAGAAGCCATCAGGAAGGCAGCAAACTAAACCCCCATGTGACACATCTGCAGTAAGACAAGCACAGAGTTTCCAAAGGCTGAGTGACTAAATGTGATGGGAGGGACACTACCACTTGCTCTCAGCAGGCACACAGGAAGTGCTAAGGGCCTGGGAAAG